TGATGCCAACCCCTCAGAGGACCTCAGATGATGCCAACCCTGAAACAACATACAGAACTACCACATTTTGCTATAAGTTTGATTGCATCATATAATAATTGCTGTTAATAGTGTTCATCGTCTGTTTTATTACGTCTTAAATTGATTTTTCCGTACTGCTGGTTCGTCTGGTCAGAGGAGAACTGGCCCCCCGACTGAGCCTGGTTTCTCCCAAGGTTTTTTCTCCATTCTGTCACCGATGGAGTTTTGGTTCCTGCCGCTGTCGCCTCTGGCTTGCTTAGTTGGGGACACTTCATTTCCAGCGATATCATTGACTTGATTGCAAATGATTGCAAAGATACTATTTAAACTGAACTGAGCTGGATGATGACATCACTGAATTCAGTGATGAACTGTCTTTAACTGAAAAATGAGTGTTTACTATTGTCATTTTGCATTATTGACACACTATTTTCCTAATTAATGCTGTTCAGTTGCTTTGACACAATCTGTATTGTTAAAAGCGCTATATAAATAAAGGTGACTTGACTTGACTTAAAGTCTTTATGATATTTAACATATCAGCAGTCTATATGGGAGGTTGTTGGATTTTAGTTTCTTTTCATGTTGTTTCCTTTAAGCTGAAGTTCTGTTTGTCTCTATTCTAATAGTGCTGTCTAGATATTTTTTTTTTATTTTTTTTTTTATTTTTTTTCAGCTTCATGCTTGAAGTGTGACTGTTTGTAATGGACCCTTATCACATTTCTGGGATTCTCAGAGGCAGAAATTTTCATAGTTTGGTAAACTTCTATAGTGGTGAGTGGGAACCATAACAAATTTTTTGCTTTCCAATTTTCTCCAATAGCAAAAGAAAAAAAAATCATGATAGTGTTTCTATGCCATACCAAAAGAGGAAAAAAAGAGACATCAAGAGATGGATCACGGAGGTCAGACGAGAAAGATGTCAAATTTGCTGTTACTCCCTCAGCATTTGTATTAGAAACATTGAAATGGATATGATTGATATGAAAATGGTCTATTGATATGAAATGCGAAAGTCTTTTCAAGTAATATTACAACAGACTTTCATTTACTCATGAGTCCAAAATGAAAAAATTAAAACCTACAGAAAATTCTTGAGGAAACCCAAGGCTGGACAATGCTAATTCCATTCCTGGTTTTTGGACTACAAACTAAACAACTGTTCTTCTCCCCTCCTAAAATTTTTCTCTCTCTTGCAGTAAGGACATCCTTAAAATAGTCCATGTGACATCAGTGGTTCAACCTTAATTTTATGAAGCTACAAGAAAACTTTTTGTGCGCAAAGAAAACAAATATAATGACTTTATTCAAAGATTTCTTCTCTTCTGTGTCAGTCTTTGACGCAAGCTCAACGAACCACGACACATGCACTGATGTCACATGGACTATTTTAACTTTAACTTAAGGCTCTCAGATTTCATCAAAAATATCTTCATTTGTGGTCCGAAAATTAACAACAGTCTTGGAACGACATGAGGGTGAGTAATAAATGACAGTATTTTTTTTGGGTGAACTAACCCTTTAACATGAAAGATCACACATTTACTAAACTGTTAGCAGCGCTATTAGAAACATGCAGCTTGTAGCTGGACCAGAGGGAAGAGTAGTAGGCCTGCTGTTTATACAGTACAACTCAAGTTCACTTCCTAGGCTTGAATCAATGAATGAGCGATATCTCATGTGGTTCTATTTTTAGTTTGTGATTTCACTTGATTAACTTGACTTCAAACATGAACTTACTTCTGTGGCAATCTAATCATGCATTATTAATGTTACCAAAAATACCTGCCAGTAGGTTATAAATACAAATATTCAATAGAAAGGTAAACGTAGAGATCATTAGTGTTATGAACACTAATAACACTATTATAACACTAGTCATAAATTAACCAAGATTTGTCATTTTAATTCTCTAATATGAAAATCTGTGAGTCAGTTATAAGTACTAAATATTTCTTGCAAAATTGCAGTTTTGTTTATTAATAAACTATTTATGTTTGTCCACTACGTAATGAAAGTGATGATAAAACATCTAGCATATCACAGAACACTAATCGACTGATATGTTTTTTATTGATCCCACCATGCATTCTGTTTCAAATGCAAGATGATGTAATCAAATGTAACCAGAATAATGTTAATGATGGCTGCATGTTGTTTATTAATAGGAGTTTTTAAAAAATCTTGTAAAGTTGTGCACATTATTTTTTTTTGTATAAATGATGCATTGAACAGCAGTTGTACTAACAGCAATCACATGAATAGATTTACAGGAGAGTTTAAAAAAACATGCATCATACACTTTCAAAATACATTCAAATGGAAAAACAAAGCACATTAATTATGTTCAGTCCACACTAATTTCCTTTATGTGAGATAGTTGTAGTCAAAGATATTTAGTTCTGATTCTTCTTGTGTGCTTATGCAAATCTGCAGCATCCTGTTTCACTGTTTTCACATGAGTGATCCCTTAGTGTTTGGGCCAGGCACAGCACTTACAACTGTCATCAAACACAGTGCCTGGACCACAGCTATTCATGTAAGTGTGGCCTCCTACACAGTTATAGTATTTGTTGGGGTCTTCAGGGTGAGGATAGAGTCCATCTGGCTTTCCATTACAGAATCCTGGTCCTGGAGCATGAGTGGTGGTGGTGGTGGTTGTGGTGGTTTTTGTGGTTGTTTGTCCGGGTTTGAGGGTGGTGGTTGGAGGCAGAGGAGGCAATTCTGATCAAAATAAAGGCATGTTAGCATTAGCTAGGGAGCTTTTTAGCTTTTCTTTTGATTATTATATTTAACCAAATTTGATAGGTGCCAGTTTGTCTGTGAAATTTGGTGGCATAAAAATGCTTATAACTTTCCAAACATTAAGCCTGGTCTATAATGTCAATGTCAATGTCACTTTATTTATAAAGCACTATTTAAAACAACAGCTGTTGACCAATGTGCTGTACATAAACATTAAGCAATAGTTTCCAAAAAAGAAAATGAAGAATAAAAGTAAATACATGCAAATTATAACATGACACTATGTCATTTGTTAAAAGCCATTTCAAACAAATAAAACTTCAGTTTTGATTTAAAATTACCTACAGTTCTGGCAGTCCTAATACTAGCCGGCAGGCTATTCCACAGTTTTGGCGCAGCTACTGCAAATGCCCGGTCTCCTCTGAGTTTAAATTTTGTTCTTGGAACCACTAATATTCCCTGATTTGATGATCTCAAGGACTTCCCTGGGTCATATTCCAACAAAAGATTAGTAAGGTAAGAAGGTGCCAAGCCATTTAGAGCTTTATACACCATTAAAAGGACCTTAAAATCAATTCTGTAGCGAACCGGCAACCAATGTAATGACATTAATGTCGGTGTGATGTGTTCATATTTTTTAACCCCAGTCAAGAGCCTGGCCGCTGCATTCTGAACCACTTGAAGTCTAGAAAGTAAGCCTTGACTTATCCCTATATAAAGTGCATTGCAATAGTCGAGCCTTGATGTAATGAGGGCGTGAATAGCCCTCTCAAAGTTCTTAAAAGACAGAAAGGACTTCACTTTTGCCAGTGCTCTTAGATGGAAGAAACTAGATTTGACCACAGAGCTGACCTGAGTATCGAACTTCAAAGCACTATCCAAATAAAGATTCCTTGACTCACAATACAGTGCTGACAATTTTACCAAAGTCAGCCATAATATGCCTACTTGTCTGCCATTTTGAATTTTACCACAAACTACCTGAGCAGCTTAAGGTGAACAGCGCCACCTAGTAATTAGCAAAGACTTGCCGATATCCAGAAGATTGCGCAGATGGCCCATGAGAGGATGGTTCCCCTGATTACAGAACTGTCCAGCAAAGTCATCCAGATCAAGCGCCCAGACGAAGGCTCCACCAAAGTTCTTGTCTTTCAGATAACGAACCTATAAATTGAAAGAAGAGTTGCTAGTTAGTTTCTGACAAATGTTGACAATGAAACCCAACTCCAGTAAAGTCTCAAAAGTACCTTAGTTTCAAAGCTCTCCTTGGTGTCAAATCCAACCCATTCGCCGTTCTTTGTGGCATAGGGCACCTTCTGGTCCTCAATCCACTGGAGTGTTGTTCCCTCTAGGAATCCACAGATCTATACAGATATTGATATATTGTTTGACTGTATTAGATACTGGGAATATTCAAAAGATACTTTTAAAGAAAATATTCCATTATTTTGGACAAAATGATTCCAAAGCTCCTACCTCATAGTAAGACCAGAATCCAGCCTCGCGAGTGTAGGTTCCAGCTGAAGCAGGTCCACTAGCTGGGGCTCCAATGCTAGTATCTGCAGATGTCAGACGGAAAGTGCGACCGTATGTTGCGAAACCCATTCTGAGTTTCTCCACAGGGGTGCCGTTGTCCCTCCAATAGCGCATAGCGAAGTCCTGAATGAGCAGGAGAGTAGTCATTTTAAAAATGATTCCTTTGGGAGGTTTGAATACCTCATGATAAATGATGTTACAGTATATCAATTCTCACTGTATTAAAGTAGATCAGGTCTCCCTCATCCTTTGAGCCTTGGTACAGGGGGCTGTTGTGTCCTGTGAATCTTTCCCAAGTTCCATGGAAGTCATAAGTCATCACATTGATCAAGTCCAGGTATCTGGGAAAAAAAAATTACACAAATCAAAAGGGGTCTTGGCGGCTTATTTTCACCTCAGTGCTCTGCCATTTTGTAAATGTTATGATTCAGTGTCGTCATACTTACTTGGCAACCTCTGCAATCTCGTATCCATCATCAATCGTCCCTTTGCCAGCTGATACAGCAGCGGTCAGCATCAGTCTGGCTCTGCCAGTAGCTTTGCTCTCAGTCTCATAGGCCTCAATAATTTCCTACAAAGAAAAACATATATAAATATAGATAAATGAATAAACATCGACCTGATGAATAAGAACACTACTGTTTTCAGTTGAGCTGCCTATCGCTGAACTGAATCAACACCTAACTGATTGGAGCTGAATAATGTGTAAATTATCGTATAAAGCACTATATAAATCAAGGTTACTTGACTCAACATGAAAAGAGATTAAATAAGGAAAGTGCTCCTCTTGGCTAAGAAGACACTGTATTACAATCAGACCCACCTTCAATAGCTGTGTGAATCTTTGTTTGTCTTCAGGTGGACTTCCTCTTGATCCCGGATATTCCCAGTCCAGGTCCATGCCATCAAATCCGTAAGTTCTCAGGAACTTGATGGAGGACTGAATGAACTTTTGACGGTTTGCAGCAGTGGACACCACGATGGAGAACCTGGGATGGATTTAATGAACAGTCTTAGATGTTTTTGCATTTCATTTGACAACATAAAACTAAACTTTTTTACACGTACTGTGTTGAACCAAAGTTCCATCCACCGACAGCCAAGAGAGTTTTAAGATGGGGATTTCTGTGAGGATAATGGAGATATTTTAGGATTTTGTGATAGTATTCATTTAGTAAATTACCTCACACTCTCACAAAAAAAAAGTCATACATGATTTGAGAAACTGAGCATCTCAAGTGTTAAACATTATATAGTAACTAATACATACGTGTTCTTGAGTTCATTAAAGGCTTTGTATAGAGTCTCATCGTTCCACTCATAGGTGACAAGCTCGTTGGCATGGTTGACCATTGCAAAAGCATAGAAAAGGTGTGTACAAAGGAAAGGGTCCACATTTGAGGGCATATACTTTCCAATTCCAGGTCTGTACTGAGACCAGTTGGTGAAGTAGCAGCCCATTTCCATGGAGAAGGCTGGATATGGATACACAAAGAAGCTCTTAGACAACACATTTCGAGATCTTTCTGATTTGAAGATATCAGTTAATAATAATTCATTACAATGAATGTGATATGATTATAAGATGCAGTAGATACTCAATGACTCACCAACATGGCAGAGCACCAAACCCAAACCTGGAATATGCAATGACTTCATGTAAATGACAAATATAAAAGAATTAATAAAACTCACTAGTATTTCTCTTATTATTTCAACACATTACCTGCAATGAGTGTGAGCTTCCCCATGTTTATTTCTAATTTCTCTGTAAGAATAAAAGAAGAGTTTTATTAATTGCATATAAACTAATAGCAGAAATAAAGATTTTAAGATGTATTACGATCGGACATACCTAGCGTACCTCAAGCAAGAAAAATGTATAGAGGAACTTCAGGACCTCTTGGTTTTTATAGCAATTGGGTGTTGTCTAAGCCATATGGGATGATTTATTATATAGGATGGTGTTAGATATGGTATCGCTCGTAAACTATGGACTGAATTGACAATAGCGTGCAAGTAAAAAATACCTTTGGCCTTTTCAGCACAAATTGCGTGAAGCTAAAATCATAGATAAGATGAAAAATTAGGCCTGCTGCAATAAAATCTGTGCAACGTGTCAATATGTTTGTTAAACTGATATGAAATGAGCAGGGGATCTATTAACTTATTCATATTAAAAAAATATTCAGCTGACATCAGTTATGCATTTACATTTGAAAAACGTAATTATAAAAGAATTATCATGTAATATGTGCCAGAGGAAATAACAATGTGTGATAAATATAAATGAAAATAATTGGTCCTCTGAGACTTTGAGTAAAAGTATAAAGAGATCTGTATCCCCCTGGAGTGTAGCCCACGAAAAAATGGGGGTGCTGGGGGTGCGGTGTTAAAAATAAATGAATGAACAATATGTAATACAAAATAAATAATATTAATTTTATTAATTAGTATATTAATTAAAATTCATTAAAAAAAGTAGCCTAAGCCTACAATGACAAGAAGCAACGGTTAAATATGAGTTAAGTTGAATCAAATTGACTGTGAAAGTCGTTTCAACTGATTAAACGTATTAAACTGACTTAAAAAAACATTTTTTGCCATGATTTTTGGATTATATTATAACCTGTAACATGTCTCTGCCGTTCCCAAATTAAGAATTAACAACAATTTCTACAGACAGCAGAGAAAAGAGCGA